TTTGTAAAAGCCTGACTTCTGATAGTTTAACTTATTTTTGATTAAACCTTGCGTCCCTGTGGATACTTTTGTGCATATGTATGTTTTTGACTCGCCTACATTTTGTTCCGACTATATTTTGACAAGAAACTTATCTTCAGCAGATATTTTAATTGTAATTACTGACTTTTTCTCTGCAATTAATAACACCAAAGTATTATAAAGTTTTTAATTTTTAAAATTTAAAAAGTTAAAACTCTTTATATCGTCATAAGTTTTAGCATGAATAATCAAAGACCTCCACGATTGAAACAGCTGTCTGGAGCTGCTGGGAGAAAAAGAGCGATGATTCGGAAAAAAAACAAAAGCAAAAACAAACGAACGCTTTTAGATTGCGTTCGTTGGACAAAAATCGAAGATAAATGCAAGCAGGTAGTTAAACTATTTTTTAATCTTGTGACGTTCATGAAAAAATAATTAAAATAATTCTGTTTAATACTTCTTTATAGTTCAATGATATTGAGATCGGTATCAATGACTCTAATGAGTTGCCAGACCATAATTCCGACAAACTTTTTCTTGCCGATGACATCGATGACTCCCAAAAAACATCTTCACATTTAAAAAAGGATCAGTTGGATTTTGTACTTGATTGTCACAATGACCAACAAATTTATAAGAGTGATCTTTGTATACCAATCTCTAACGATCCTGCACTATGGAAATCAATATCAGACACTGATCAAACAAATATAATTCTGATGGGACCTTCGTCAAATCCTAGCAATTTTCCAAGAGATCAAAAAGAACGCAAATTCCCTACTTATATCTTTTTAGAGGATCAAAGAAACGGAGAAAAAGTTTAAAGAGATCGTTTGGAGTAAGGCTGTGGCATCACTCTTTTGTTTCCCTTGCTCCCTTTTTGGATTGCCTAACTTAACCAGACCCGTTGTTCAATCCAGTTTGTTGTCTTGGAATGGAGGTATACATGGAAATTGGAGAAAACTTTCAGATCGCGTTAAAAGTCATCAACAAAGTGATTTTCACCGTAACTGTTATCTCCAATGGAAAACAGCTACGATTCACTTGAAAAGTCAAAAGTCCATTGAGCATCAGTTAGAAAAACAAATTGGAGATGAAACAAAGCGATGGAAAGTAATTTTACAATGCATTCTTGACGTCACAATTTTTCTAGCTTCAAGAAACTTAGCTTTTAGGAGTAAGAATATTGTTTTTAAATTTTAAATTATATTTTGCATTATTTTATTTGTAATTTAAAAATCAAAATTACAAGTTTTAATTGGATAAAAATATGGATTACTATTTTGATTATTTTTTGTTTGTAATTAGGATCCAATCAAAAGTTGTTCAAAAATGGGAATGGAAACTTCCTTAGAGCGCTCGAATTTATTGCTCGCCACAACAAAACATTACAAGATCATATGCATCTTATTGCTAAGCACCAAGAAGAAGAAAAACGCATGCAAGCTCATTATTTATCTTGGAAATCACAAAATGAATTTATCAAGGAATGCGGCAAATGAGTGGTTTGAGAAGTTATTCGAGAAATCAAAAAATCAATATATTTCACCATCATCTCGGACAGCACTCCCGATTCGTCCCACAGCGAGCAAATAACTTTTGTTTTTCGTTTTTTCCATTTCAATGATAATCAGCTGTGGGAGGTCAAAGAAAGATTTCTTAAGCTAGAAGAACTTGAAAAGTAGAAGGGATCTGATATAACAAAGTTGATATTGAATGTGTTGGAAGAGAATGAGCTCGGCATAAAAAATTGTCGTAGTCAAGGCTACGACAACGGCGCTAATATAGCAGGTATTTACAATGGAGTTCAAGCTTTGATAAGACAGAATAATCCACAAGCAATTTTCATTCCTTGCTCTGCTCACAGTTTGAACTTATGTGCAGTACACGCTATTGAATCATCGGCTCCTGCAAAATCATATTTTGGAAATATTCAAAAGCTATACAATCTGTTCAGCAGCAGCCCAGTTCGTTCGAAAATTCTTCAGGAGGAGACAGGCCAATCATTACATAAACTTTCTGTTACACGATGGAGTTCAAGGATTGAATCAGTTAAGCCACTAGCAAAAAGGTCAAGAGAGATCATGAAATCATTACATCGTCTAAAAGAGTTAGACCTTCCAGGCGAAAGTAGTAATGAAGTGCATTATCTCATTAAATGGATGAATTCTTTTGAATTTGTTGTTTTCACTACTTTTTGGTTTAAATGTTTGATGGCAGTTACCAACGTTAGTCTTCTGCTTCAATCCACTCAACTCACTCTCGATGAGGAAGTAAAGATTCTAAATGGCCTTTTGATGGATCTGGATCGAATCCGTCTGTCTAAGGACCTGATTTTGATAGAGGCATCAGAAGTTGCAAAGAACTTGAAATTTGATAAAATAATGTTTACTGTGAAGAGAACGCGAAAAAAGATCATCTCAGATGAAACTGCTGGCTACAACCACGAAGAAGCATCAAAAAACTTTGAGTGTAATGTCTTCAATGTTGCACTCGACAATCTGACTAGTCAAATGAGATCAAGATTTAAAGTAATAGAAGAGGAATGTAGCAAATTTTCCTTCCTTTGGTCTTTACAGAAATCTCAAACAGACCAAGAACTAGGTTTAAAAGCTGAGAATCTGGCTAAACTTTACCCAGAAGACTTATGTAAAAACGAGTTTTCTGATGAAGTTCGGCATTTTTTTTCCGTAAGAAGAAATATTCTACCCAGCGAAAAGCCTGTCAAACTTCTAAATGAAGTTTATGCAAAGGGGCTGCATTCAATATTTCCGCAAGTGTGTGTTTCTCTTAGAATCTTTCTAATATTGCCCGTTTCAACATCTGAAGGAGAAAGATCTTTCAGCGATTTAGCTATCATCAAAGATTATCTTCGTTCCACAATGGGCCAGGAGCAATTGTGCTAGTTGATGATCCTTTCAATCAAATCAGATTTAGCCATTAACGTTAATTATGAAAAAGTTATATCTAATTATACATATATATATATATATATATATATATATATATATATATATATATATATATATATATATATATATATATATATATATATATATATATATATATATATATATATATATATATATATATATATATATATATATATATATATATATATATATATATATATATATATATATGTATATATATATATGTGTGTGTGTGTGTGTGTGTGTGTGTGTGTGTGTGTGTGTGTGTGTGTACTTTAAACTATAAAGTAGTTTAAATTGTTTCTGATATATCAAAGATTTTATTAAATTGATGGTTCTAAAAAATAATAACAATGAAAAGATTAGATTTCATCCCAAATATACGTGAAGTAGGACTTAAACAAATGTTGCCTTAGTTACTTTTATTTCAAAGGTGAAGAAAAAACTAAAACAAGGTGGCCGAAAATATGATACATATATACAAAACGAAAACCATTGGCTTCAGAGAAATCTTATGTCCAATAAAAATAGCCATTTTGATTCTGAAGGTCCCATAAGCAATGGAATGTTCTTGGAGAGCGAAACAAAAGGAAAAAGAATAAAGAATTAGCTGAACATCATGAAACTTTATCTTTAGCTTTTGCAAGAAATCCAAGTGTACTATTCAAATTATGTTCGATCACTCTGTTAGTAGAATAACTAAAATGATTGTAATGCCGAATGTGGTCAATATAACGAATTATTTGGAATTTTATATGGAAAGATTGGTTATGAGGTAACATCAAGCCAAAGTATTTATAAACAGAACAAGACAAGTAACAATTAATGAATTAAACACGAAGAAAATATTTTCAGTACAGTTTTTGTGCGTTTATGGCTCAAAGTAGGAAACACCAAATTTTGGAAAAATGGAAATCCTTAAAGTTGTCACTTTGTAGACCTCTTCATCTGCAACATAAAGAAGAGAGTTCAATTTTATTCAGAGAAGCTGAATCAGATTTAACGCACTTACAGAGATAAAATCTACTTAATCCTGCAATGTGTGCAATGTTAAACCCAACGAAATGAACAATATTTATTTAGTAAAAGCAAAAACTGAAAACAAGTCAGTTGATGAATCTATGCTCTATGATAAATTAGGTGCACTGCTTTTAGTAATATCAGATCCAAAAGTATCAAGCATATCTTTTAGAAAAAATAAGAGTTATCAAGGATAACCTTTACCAGATGAAATTATTAAACTAATTATTAAAACAAATGTAATAAAATACAGTTTTTTTCACTTCTTATCAACATTCTTTAAAAACCATTTTTATAAAAAATAGCAAGTAGAGTAATTTATCAAGATAATGCGTTTATCTTAATGATTCTAAAACTTTAAAAAAAATTATTTTCTACGCGTATAGCAACTTTAAGTCGCGCATTGAAGCTGCGTGTTAAAAAATATTTATTAACAAATTTGAAATCTTTGACCTAAAAATTATTATTTTAACATATAAATTTTTACTTTTGGAATTATATTAAACTTTATATAATTTTTGCTGCTTTTTGATCGCCCTGTGTCACTGTGCGGCATTGGTTTATAACTTTGAAATGAGTTTGACCACGCCTTGTGCCACACAAACTCCAATAAATTTTAGTTTATCGTCGGAAACTTTGTTTTATGCTTGGAAACTATTGGAAAATTATTGAGTCATAATCACAAAAATAGGTTTATGATTGTGATTTTCAAGTTATCAAATAAAAAATGATTTTTATTTAATAATTTTTTATATTCTCCTGCAAAAAATGGGGCCCCTAAAATTTGAGTAAATGTGGAGCCTCAGTGGCAACCTTTGCCCACACACACACACGCACACACACACACACACACACATACACACGCATACACATATGTATTATATATATATATATATATATATATATATATATATATATATATATATATATATATATATATATATATATATATATATATATATATATATATATATATATATATATAAACGCATCTAAGCTAAACTTAGCCGTATTTATTTTACTTAGGGGGTGCTTCGGATCCGTACATTCGGGTAATGTTAAAACCAGATACCAGAAGAAGATATGAAACAATTGTTCTGGACGCAACGTTAAATCCAAAGTACGATCAAACGTTTGAGTTTAAAAAACTTCCTATCTCTGAACTTTTGAACAGGACTTTAAGTATATTAGCCATTGATTTTGATCAATTACCTGAGCACGATATTTTAGGAATGGCAGAAATACCTATGATTGATTTCGATTTATCGAGTCCTGTTGACGTGTGGAGGACTTTGATTCCAGGATATGATTTAAATAACCCAGGTGAATTTATAAAAGCAGAATCTGATTACGGAGACATTTGCATTGGGTTGATGTTTATGCCAGCTACAGAAAAACTGCACGTGTATATTATTGAATGTAAAGATTTAAAAAGTGTCGATGAGAACGGAAAGTCAGATCCTTTTGTAAAAATAACAATGTTTCAAAAGAAGAAAAAAATTAAATCATTTAAAACTAGACATATTAAGGAAACATTGACACCCTACTTTAACGAAGATTTTGTATTTAACTTGAGTCCGGCACTGACACCGGTCACAGACATACAATTTATTGTATTAGATTATGAATTGTTTGGAATACCAAATACTATTGGTCAAGTTACAATAGGAGCTTCTTCGTACGGCCCACAGATGAGACATTGGAGAGATGTTCTTCTTGCTCCAAAAAAATCAATAGCTTGTTGGCATATGTTAAGAGCTAAAAGTAAACTAGGAGAGGATGATTAGAAAAAAACGACCAGAAAGAGATAATTAACCATGTACTTATATAGAGTCAAAAAAATTTTCTTTATTTTTTGCCAAAAAAAATAGAAGGTCACCAAATAAAACTTCCACTCTATAAAGATAAAAGTAAACAAGATAAAATATACGTATAAACACTTTTTTCTTCAACTCAAGAAAACAAAAGATTTGTTAATAAAAGTGTTTTTTATTTAAGTTTCTTTCAAGTCTAAGAAAAATAAAGATAAATTATTTTTTCTTTTTTAAAGACATTTTGTGTTAATTTCAAATTTATGTTAAACCTGGCTTTTTAAGTTGTTTTTCTTTGAAACTAGCTACATTATCCATATAACTTTCATCAGTAATTATCGTTCTTTTATTATTGAAGATTACACTTATTGTGCATTTGTTTGTAATACTTATCCCAGGATTTATATGGTCAGAACCAAAATGGTTTTTATCAAACAAAAGTTTTTACAAAATTATTACTTAGCTTTTGAAAATATCAATATTTAGTATAATAATAAGAAATAACTATGAGAAATATCAATGCCTTTTTTTGAACTAAATTTTGAATTTTTAAATTTGTTCTGAGCAGTAAACATCCTGAAAACTAAATTAAAACTTGTTTATCTGTCGGTACTGTCTAAAACTTCATTCTATTGGACCGCTTTGAAATTTAGCAGTCATGACAATTCATAGCCATCATTTAAAATATCTTTAATTAAAAAGGCATGATAACTAAATGTTTGTTGAAATGCAGAACTTGTTTAAGCAGACTTTTTTTATGGAATAAACATTAAAATTTCTCTCAGTTCACAACATTTTTTTATTTCCAAATTTCCATCCATAATGGCGTAGCTTGTAAGAATTTAATTTTTTTATAATTTTAGGTGGAAGAATTTCCTAAACAGTTATTCGAACAAAATTGCATTTTTTTATTAAGTATAACTTATCATTTATTAAACAAGCCTAAAAAGCATCCTCACACAAAGAAAAGTATGATTTCAAACCAGCTATTATACTTTCATCAAACAACCTGAACATTTTGTTTAAATTTTTCTGGGTGAGGCACTTTATTTGAAAGTTTTGAATTTTAATGTACATCTGCATTAAAATTAGATCTTTTTCATGGACGTCATGAAATAGTATCCGGGATACTTCTACACCTTTAACTGCAATGTCATTAAATTCAATCAACTAAATTAAATCCAATGAACTAAAATAGCTTAAATCTGTTCAAATGTCTCTGTTCCTCTGAGAACAAATACTAAAACTACGGTATCCATGGCAACTGCAGAGCGCAGCAAAAAGGAAGTTAATCAAAATATATTTGCGTTTGACCATGATTTGAAAACGTTTATTCGATTTAGGGTGGAATTCAAGCAAACTTGAGTCAAGTTCGACTTGAACTTAACTTTGTAACCAATAGCGGCAGAGTATTTTTTGAGGGCAACTTTTTTTTTTTTCTGGTTTTAAAGTTGTTCAATATATTCAATCATTTTTTTTTGTGGTTGTAAAGTTGTTCAATTTATTCAGTTGTTGAAAATTGTTGTTTTCTGATTGTTGCTGTTTTCTGGTGAGTTTTCTGACAAATAACTTAATCGAGATAAAGTAATAGGAGAAATAATGGAAATTACATTGAAGAATATCGAGAAATTAATTACAAGCAAACTCGAAGAACAAAAAAAGAGTATTTTAAAAGAAACGGAGCGCCTGTTAAAAGATCAAGAAAAAAATTTTACTGATATAATTAGTGCAAATTTAAAAATACTCACTAATCGATTAGATAAAATTGGAAAAGAAGTAGACATTAACAAATCAAGTCTTGAGCATAAAAAACGAGTTACGCGATTTTAAAGAAAGTCTTAACTTTTAAGAAAGAAGCATCACGGAAAAATTAAATCAGATCACGAAGCGTTATAAAAAAGAAATAAACTATTTAAATAAAAAGACACTAGATTTAGAGAACCGGTCTCGAAGGAACAACTTAAGAATAGACGGAATATATGAAAAACCAAATGAAAATTGGGCCGAGTGCGAAAACGTAGTTAAGGAAATGTTCAAAAAACAACTTAAAATTATATGATATTATAAAATTTCTATGATATTATCATAGAAAGAGCTCATAGAGTAGGCCAACCTAAAGAAGACAAGAAACCATAAACTATTGTCCTTAAATTATTAAATTTTCAAGACAAAACAAAAATACTCAGCGCTACAAAAAATTTGCGAGGAACAGGGATATACGTCAATGAGGATTTCGCAAAAGAAACAATCGAAAGCCAAAAAAAGTTGTGAGAAGAGGTCAAAAAACTGCGTCTTGAAGGCAAGTATGCAGTTATAAAGTATGATAAAAAATTTTCTAGAGAATTTTGGAAGATAATGCGTTCGTTTTTAAAAAGAACTCCTTTTCAATTTATTATAACTAATCATTACTTTAATAAGTGACTTTGAAACTGCCTTTAATTTTTTTGAAACGAAATTTTTTTCTTTACCTGAAAACTCCGACCCAGATATTAATTACTTTCACGATACAAAAATCGAGTGTTCTTTCTATTATTTAAAAGAATTGAAAGGAATTCTATTTAAGAATGTTACAAAGGAAAGCAACGATCAAATTAAAATTCTTTTCGTAAATATCAGAAGCATTAATTGTAATTTTGAAAAGTTCCAAAATTTACTTGATAAAACTAAATACTTTTTTAAAATTATTTGCTTAAGTGAAACTTGGGCTACCTCAAACGACATTAATAAAAGTTCTAATTTTTATCTTTCTCATTTTGAAATGATTTCTCTAAAAAGGCAAATAAGTAAGCGCGTTGGTGGAGTTCTAATTTACGTTCATGAAAATATTAGGCATTGTTGTAGAAATGATCTTTGTGTTTCTTAGGGCGATGGAGAAATATTAACAATTGAGATTATTAACGAACGAACAAAAAACATTTTAATACACATCTTCACAGTTCCAATAATTACATGCGCGCGCATATTTAATATTACGTCATGGTACTTTATGCGCAGAATCGCATGAAAGAAAGTAAATACACGAAAGCATTCTTGAAAGAAACAGTTGTCTACATGAGATTTCTTTACTTTTATTCATAATAAAAGTATCGATTTTGAATTATTTAACTTTCTTTTTAACTATTTTAAGGCTAAATTTATATTATTTATGTATTTATACTTTTTATATGTTTGTTCTATAGGATATATATGAAAGAAATAAAAGCTCTTAAATAATACTCTTTATCTTTTGCATTTCACACATTTCGATTTTTATTGTTGATTATGATAGAGAATTTTATGCTGATTAAGAATCGTATAAAAACATAGGTCTGAAAATTAACAGAAAGTGCTCTAATTTGATGTTGAAGTTTAAATTTTTAATAAACGCTAATATTCGCCATTTTTTAAATACGTTTTACATCAAAGTTTATATTTTAAAATCGATCGTTAAGAAAATCTTTTTTTAATTACGCGACCCGGTTTTTATTGTCATCAAAGTTAATTTATAATTGAATTAAATGTTTTTATGAATGTTTTTTATATAATTTTAATTATTTTTTATGAAATAAATTTAAATATTGCTTTTTAAATGTACATAAATCGACTGAAAAATAGGGATTGGCGCAATTAAATGTACACTCATCAACTGAAAAATAGGGATTGGCACAACTAAATGCACATACATCGACTGATAAATAGGGATTGGCGTGATTAAGCATACAGGATTTGAGACAGGGTTTGGGTTTGGGCAAGGGATAAATCAGAAAATGATGCGATGAGCATTTTTTAACAGTTTTGCATTAAATTGTTGATAGAAACCAGGCTTTTTTAAAATCATCCTTGAAAAGAATTTTAATATAACCGAGAATAAAAAAAATGGCGAATATTAGCGTTTTTTAGTGTAATTTTTTAAACTTCAAGATCGAATTAGAGCACTTTCTGTTGATTTTCAGACCTATGTTTTTATACTATTCTTAATCAGCATAAAATTCTCTATCATAATCAGCAATAAAAAAAAGGGGGGGGGGGGAGAAACTGCAGTAGCGCCGTATATATATATATATATATATATATATATATATATATATATATATATATATATATATATATATATATATATATATATATATATATATATATATATATATATATATATATATATATATATATATATATATATATATATATATATATATATATATATATATATATATATATATATATATATATATATATATATATGTATATATAAAAATTCTTTTATAATGATAATAAATAAATGAAATTTTAAAAGAACGTCTTTTTAACTGAGTTTTACAGTGACAAAACACATCAAAAAAAAAATTTCTTTTTAATTACAATGTAAATATAATGTATTTAAAAAATGTAATGCATAAAAGTTAAATTTTTAATCTTATTTCACGCACAATACGAATTAAAAATGGCAACCATCGAGTAAGTTTTGTTATGATTTTTTTAATTATCAGTTTAAACCTTTTGGGAACCTTATGGGAAACCCGTAAAATCCCCAGGTTATTCGGCCCTGATAATAACCATATAAAACTCTAACGAGCAAATATGCTTGATTTTATTACCATATGGGACCCGTCTGGAAACCAAAACACTTACCCGTCAAAATCCCGTTCCCGTAAGCCCAGACACAAACCATACGGTACCCGTCTGTCAATGTTGGCTGGGATGTTGTATCTTTGCATAATGTAAATACGTTAAATTTTATATATATATATATATATATATATATATATATATATATATATATATATCTTTAAATGATTTAAATATTCATCTTAAAATTAAAGATGAATATTCAAATCATTTAAAGATATATATATATATATATATATATATATATATATATATATATATATATATATATATATATATATATATATATATATATATATATATATATATATATATATATATATATATATATATATATATATATATGTATCTTTAAATGATTTAAATATTCATCTTAAAATTAAAGATGAATATTCAAATCATTTAAAGATATTTATATATATATATATATATATATATATATATATATATATATATATATATATATATATATATATATATATATATATATATATATATATATATGCAAAATATACAATTAAAGTGTTATTATAATTATAAAGACTTTAATTTATCTTAATATAAAAATTTAACCCAAATTCATATAAAAATTTATATGAATTATACAGTATACACAAGTTTTGCATTTCATATAAAATATACAAAATTTGTGTATACTGCAAATTCATATAAGTTTTTGTAAAATTATACATATTCTCATAGAAAAAAAATCTTTTAATGTTTTCACTTTTTTTAACGTTGAACTAACGTTGAAATAACGTTGAAGCATATATCAACCATTTCTCCACGTTGAAAAAACGTTGAAATGCCGTTATGTGCTTGCTGGGTACATGGAACATGTAAGCTAGTTAGGTAAAATTTGCTTTTTCCAAAAAATTAAGAATTTACATTTAAATAACGCCAATTTTTTAAAGACATACATATATTCGTCTATTCGATATATTTGTATATTTGCGTAACGATAAAGAAAATCGCAACTACCTAAAAATCACAATTATCTCTAAAACCACAGTTTGTTTAGCTAAATCATATTGTTTTTTATCATACCCATAACCATACATTAAAACGCAAAAAAAAACTACGTTTTGTGTTTGCGTTCCAAAATAAAAACTCACACGCAAACGTAAACGCATTAGACGCATATAAAATGCGTTTACGAACATAACGTACGCATATATATATATATATATATATATATATATATATATATATATATATATATATATATATATATATATATATATATGTATGAAAATATAAGTTATGTTAGTGTATTCAACTAATAGAGTGCTTAATGTTCTTAAAGAACAGAGCAGTCATAATTTAGTAAAAACACTTATCTAATTTTTATGCTCATCAACAGCATGTTTCACCATCAGTAGGTTCATCAGGCTTCCTGATATATAGATATATATACATATATATATATATATATATATATATATATATATATATATATATATATATATATATATATATATATATATATATATATATATATATATATATATATAAATATATATATATATATATATATATATATATATATATATATATATATATATATATATATATATATATATATATATATATATATATATATATATATATATATATGTATATATATATATATATATATTTCCTTTGCTGTATCACAAAGTTTACAATAAAAAAGATTGTACATATATATATTTCGCATATTCATGTACGATATGTACTAAAATTACTTACTTTGACACAGTCTTCTCGCCCTTCGTTCTTTGTACCTTACAGCTTAATTTTTTAATTTCATTTTTTGCTTAACAATTGTTTTCATTCTCTTCTTTAGCTTTGTTATTTTTCATGTTTAGGATAGGATGGGGCAAGATCTCCATAAGTCACGTCCCTTGCGCATTTAAATAAAATTGTTTAATTCCTTTTACATACTGTTGTTTTAGATATTTATATATTCAAACAAATAATTGGTTTTAGTCAAGTTACAAAAAAAAATGAATTTAGTTCTCTTAGTGCAAGTAAAGCTGTTTTTAGTTTTCCTAAAGATACTGTTTTAGAAAAAAATGGATGAAATTTGTTAACAGAAAAGATTGGAAGACAAGCAAACATTCAGTTA